CCTCTCTCCTCTCTATCCCCTCCCCCCACCTCTCTCTCATACACTCTCTCTCCCTCCCTCTCACCCTCTCCCTCTCTCTCCCCCCCCTCTCTCTCTCTGTCTTTCCAAACACCCTAAACATCTTAACCGTCAAGGTCTCCTTTCTCCTTCCTCACATAGATAGGCATTAACTCCTTCTCATTAGAGACGTCCCTCTCAGAACTCCAATCAGATTTCCTGAAATGACGTCATAGAACAATGAGCACAGGTAATAGCAACAACGAAAGAAAAGATGAACACAGCAAAAGACTAACATTTCAGAGAGCTGACCTTACATCTGTAATTAATGTCCCTAATCTTATAGTGCGGTCAAATACTCGTAGCGCAACTCATCCTCAAATCGTGGGAGGTTGGCGGGTGCTCTGGTGTGGTTAACTCCTTCTTCCTACCAAACATCTATCGTCCTGATCTCTCCTCCTTCTTTCTTGTGTTTGTTACTCTCTTGTAACACCTCTAATCCTCGGCACTTATATGGCCTTATGTATTACAAGGGCCCTAAAACTCTTACTAAAACTAAACAATCCTCAAATCTCTTTAACGGGTGAATCACTGCCATCGATAGTTTGCACAGCAGTTTGAATCACTTTGTCTTAACTTAACTTATTCATATTTCCCACAACAAGTAAGGCTAGATTATAAAACTTTTCGTCTCAAAGAGCATGTAACACCAATGCTAATTCGGCTACATTGGCTCCCGGTGAAAGCACGAATTCAGTACAAAATACTTGTTCTTTGTTTTAAGTGCGTCAACAACATTGCACCATCATGTCTTTGTGACATGGTCATCAAATAATATATTATACATGTACCATCTCGGCCCTTAAGATCGGCGAAGAAAAGACTTTTAAGACCTGTCCAAAGCAAAAGTCAGAGACTCGGAGGGAGATTTTTCACACCACGCCCCCTCCCAGTGACAATAAATGAATGTGTGATGTCATCAATGTGTACGTGGGTGTAGATCTATGGGTAAGCTTTGCGGGATTGTCTTTACTCAAGAATGTACTGGAGAGAGAGAGAGAGAGAGAGAGAGAGAGAGAGAGAGAGAGAGAGAGAGAGAATTACTACAGGAGCTGTGCGCTGCATAAGTTCTTTGTGTTATTGTACAGCGCATTGAGCACTTCTTTGTGAAAATACGCTATATAAATGCAATTTATTATTATTATCATCGTTAAAATTAGTTTATATAAAATACTATAAATCTCTGTTGCGTGGAAAATGGGTTTGTTCACAGCACTTCCTTCTTTTCACACATTTTGCATACGCATATGGCGTACGTTACACTTTTTAAAGGCAAAACCTGTTTCAAGAAATGAATTTATAGTAAATATATTTTTTTGCACAAAAACATGCGTAAAATAAGCAAAATGTCGCGATTAGGAAAAAAATTACGAGCTTTCTTTTAAAAGCGATATTGCCCCAGCTGTAATGTTTTTAACATATTATTTAGAAACAAACTACTGGGATAGACTAACTAACAAAGGAAAG